CATTTTTTTTTATTATGTTTGTTAACAAAAATACAAAATACAAAAGATTCGAATGTGCGAGAAAACTTGATGTCAACTTAGAATTTTCTAGGCGTTTTGCGCCCTCTAGCTAACAAACAGATTTACAACATTAAACATATAGTTTACAACAAAATAATTTTAATAACCTTGTTTTAATGTACACTAACTGGGTTTTTCATTACCTATATATCTGGAAAAAAAATTTACTTGTTTGACAGCAGACGGAAAACACTAAACATTTGTTTTGAAATTATGGCAACGTTTCGAGTCAAGGCCTCTCATTACGTTATAAAAACTACCTGATGAAAGACTTTGGCCCGAAATGTTGTCCTAATTTTAACACAAAACATTTACTCTCTGCTGTTCTTTATTTTTGGCGAGTAATGTTTGTTTGAATTATATTGGATAATATATGCAGACCTTTTCTGTTTTGTTTTTTGTTGTTGTTTTCGAGTATCTATAACAAGGAGAGAAAGGTTTTTACCCTACAAACAAACAAGTTGAATATGATTTGTGTACTAAATTATTCTAAATGTGTAGCCAGTATTTTTATATGGTGGCCACTATTTAACTTTACATGTTGTGCAAAAATATATTTAATATTTGCAGGAATTAAAAATAAACATAACACCGATGCGTTTGTGGAAAAATTATACCTTGTAGTTTACCTCTATACGAGACTGAAGTTGGCTTCTTATTCACTCAGCACATTTTCTTTCCAAGTCATTATTTGTGTTTATTTTAATAATGTAAAATTTCATTATGTTATTAGTTTAAAACTATGTAACAATACATGCGGGACTACAAATAAAGCAACTGTTTATTTACAAAACAATCTGTAAACATGGCACAACACCAAAAAGCGCTCCAAATAGTACGTTTCTATTAACTAGCTGGAGTATTTCGGTAGTTAATAAATACTAAACCACTAATTTTAAAGTAGATTTCTACAGAGAATGAACTATTCTCTTACAATTCATTGAGTTTATTCTGAATAAAAACCAAATTCGTTCACAATGGGCCCGGCATGGCCAGGTGGATAGGGCGCTCGACTCGCAATCTGAGTGTCGCGGGTTCGAATACCCGTCCCACCAAACATGCTCGCCCTTTCAGCTGTGGGGGCGTTATAATGTGACGGTCAATCCCACTATTGGTTGGTAAAAGAGTAGCCCAAGAGTTGGCGGTAAGTGGTGATGACTAGCTGCCTTCCCTCTAGTCTTACACTGCTAAATTAGGGACGGCTAGCGCAGATAGCCCTCGTGTAGCTAGAGTAGCCCAAGAGTTGGCGGTAGGTGGTGATGACTAGCTGCCTTCTCTCTAGTCTTACACTGCTAAATTAGGGACGGCTAGCGCAGATAGCCCTCGTGTAGCTTTGCGCGAAATTCAAAAACAAACAAACAAACAAGCGAGCGCAGATAGCCCTTTTGTAGCTTTGCGCGAAATTCAAAAAACAAACAAACAAACAATCGTTCACAAACATTGCACAACACCTAAATGCGCTTTATGTAGTGCATTATGAATAAGTATCTGGAGTATTTCAGAGGTTAATAAGCATTGGGTCACTAATTTAGAATTTGAGATTTGTCTTCTTCTATAGAAACTAACTATAAAATTAGTGTTTCGATGCCTATTAACTCCAAAATAAGCCAGCTACTTATTCAAAGCATACTAGTTGGAGTACTTGTTGGTGTTTTGTAACGTTTACAAATTATTTATAAACAAATTCTGTTTTGGGCTACGATAAACACACCTGGAAGTAAAATATGTTTTGATCATTCTGTAGAAACGTGCTGTTTATTTAATGGCCAAGCGCTTATTAACCTCCGAAATACCCCAACCATTTATTCAAAATATTGTAAAGTTCTTCAGTAAACAAATTCTCTATTGGAATAGGACAAAACCCGTTATTTTTATTGTTGAATCCTTCTATTGATGTGTAATTATAGATCAGTATGTTAATAAAATTTTAATTTTTCGAAATAAAAAACAAATCATAGTTTACGAATAAGAGTCCAACTTCAGTCTCGACCAAGGTTAAGATAGTCCTTTTGGTTGTAGTCGTGTTTTAATGGAGGCAGTCTGTTAGATTGGATAACAATATTATTATTATTTACAGAAAATGGTGAGCTTTTTATCTACAATTTTCACGTATTATATGTTTTCAGTATTTGTTACGTAAATATGGACATAAATCTAAACTTTTAGTAAACAAATGCTGCAGATGAAATTGGATTTGACTAACTGAAACTGAAAGAAGCTGGGTATATTGGATTTACTTGACACTGGAATTTAAGCCTAAACTTATGTGAATACTGATAGTAATAATAAAGTGTTGTTTGAGTTACGCGTTATTTCGTTTTTATGATATTTCCTTAAATAATGAAATCACGTGTAACTTGAAAACATACAAATAACTGATGCTTTAAGATTTAAATTCATTTAACCAAAATTGTGTGCATTATGTAGTGACAGTAGAGTGTTCTAAACTAGTACTGTAGAACTACTGGTTTATAACTGAGTATTACTATTAGTTGTAGCATAAAATTCATTTTTACCCTATGACCATTCTTAGTTGATGTCTACTGGATATCAGGTTTGATTGTTGTCCTTGTTTCTGTTGACTGGCATTAGATGTCTTCTTTTTTGGGTCACCTGTTTTAACTACTCACACAAATGTACAGTAATGTGTTGTCTGTCAGTCAGTTAGTCAGTAGACACTAAAATGACATCACATAAAGGTCACTTAATATTGCAATTTGTACTGTAGCGAAGTCAGTAAGATGTGTGCTTGCCATGAATCACGACAAGAATTATGCACTCTGTAAGTTGGAACAGCATGACATAGAGTTTCAAAAGCAGTAAATAAAAATATCTGTTACTCTGAATTTTGGTTTTACTTACTCTTGAAAGAGAATACTTTCGGGGACCTTGTGGAAGTACATCTAGTATATATATATGTATGTATATATATATATATATATATATATAATGCTTTGTCTGTGGATTTTCTTGTGCTTACTTCCAAACTGAATGTATTGTAGTAGCATAAAAACATTTCTTGCATTTCACAGTAAATTACATTATCTTGTTTTATGGGATTGTCTGTTTTTCTTTCACATCATAGTATTTTTAGATAACAGAAAATTATTATTTTTTATTAAGGGGTTTGTTAAAGTTGTGAAGAATAAAGCTTATTTCAAGAGATTTCAAGTGAAGTTCAAGAGGCGAAGAGGTAAGCTGATAGTAAACCTGGAACTAAAGTGTTGGTTATGTTCTAAAAGCTGTTGACATCCTATTTTCATGAGTATTGCAAAATTCAACTTGATTTATTATTGAATATCTAACCAAAGTTATTGAATGTGATATGAAATGTTGCCTATCATCCATATTGTTACTAGATATTCCTTTATTTTAATGTGATGTGTTTAATTCTAATATGTTTAGTGCTCTTTATATCTTAAGCTTCAATTGAAAGTTCATCTCGGTACATTTGAATGAAAGAATTGTATGTTTATTTGTTGTTACTGCTTTTGATGTGGTTTTATATCAATTCTTGAGGTTGGACATCCTGGAACTTTGCCCTCCCACAATGCAATGTCTGCATAGCAACCAAGACAAAGGGGCAAAGTAATAGCGCAATGGGAAATCCGCTCAATTTGTATATTTGCCAGCTTTCTAGACTTATTGGAAATGACAGTTTGTGTTTGTGACGATCTTTCGTTGTTCCAAACCTCTTGTGTATTCAATTGTACCAATAACAAGTTAAATATCTTCTATTCAAATTCACAATGAACGTGTAATAGGACTGCTGAAAAAGTGTTATTCAATCCTGCAAGATCTTATACCCATTCAGAGCATGAAACAAATTTCAGATGAACTCTGTGAAAAAAATTTGGTAAGTTTGACCATAGAGTGACAGTTCATATTGTCTATGTATACGTTAAGTGTAATTGGAATATCACTGCTGTATCATCAGTTTCATTGTTTTAAGTGGCATTAGTTATGCAGTTTGCCACAGGAAAACTTCCTGCTTCATTTGAAACGATTGGGTCATAACTGTACTTGCTTTGCTATTGTTTGCCACGTTTGTCAAGATTGCAATTGCGTTACCAGCCAAAATCACATGACTATGACGTCACGCTGACCTCAGGAATTGAAACTAAACAGGACTTGGTAATATCTATGTAGTACTTTTGTTATACTGTAATGTCACAAGAATGTAGTGGTGTTAAATATTAAACTTTAAAAGAAATGGAAAACAGTAGTATTCCTTGCTTTTGAAACAAAATTATTGTGCAGAATCGTCTGTTAATCTTTTTTTTAATATTCAATGACAGTAATTGCACTAAAACTAGAACAAATACCTTTACTGGAACAGAAGGCACCTTTCAGATATTGAACATACAAATACAAATCAAATTTCAAACTTAAATAAAAATAGTAATTCAAACAATCTTACCTTTTATGCAAAATGTTTTAGAAATGATAATTGTCTTTTTTAATATAACTCTCAAAGAAAAATTTTTAAATGTTTAAATTTACATTTCTGTGCAGCTACCAGAAGTCTTGCATGTACACAACATAATCAATTTGTTTAGAATTTTTCTGTCTGTCTAATGCATAAGTTTTTATTTGCTAAGAAACTCACATCTTGAGAATACAATTATCCAAATCTTGTTTCTCATGTGAGTTTTCCTTTGTTCCCACTATTTTATGTTGTAAGAGTATATGGTCTGAACAACTACTAATTAAGATCAGCTTTGAAAATAGCTACAAATAAAGTTTAAATGCCATTTGATTAACCATGTTATAAACAATTTATGTCAATAAAGTGGTGTGAAAAGTTATTATATATAGCTCCTGCACAGAAAAACAGTGGAATTTGGTAGGAAGATTAGAAGGCTTAGTAACAAATCACAGATATGGGATTTTTCATTTTATTTTTGTGTTGATTTATATTTGTTTGAAAGCTCTGAAAAGTAAGCCTAGTTTGGTTTAGAGAGTACAGTTGGAGATACAATCTTTTGATGACTCAAATCCATATTTAGTAAATGTTAAATGTATAGAAACAACATGAGTAAAATAACTCGTTATTTATTAGATATGAATTGCTCTTCGCCAAGAATATTGTTAGTAAAAATATTGGTACTTAGCCTGACCTTATACTATTGTGACAGGTTAGGTCATAGGCTACTGATAACTCTATTAGTTTTTGCCATATTTTTTATGACTTGGCCAGAATTGGTGACTACTGCAAAATAAGGTATCAAAAGAAATATATTAATGAATGTCGTTCGAGTTGAAAACGATTGTTTATATAAGAAATTATGGGAAAAGTAAAACATATTACATGATTTTCCTGAACCAAAACAGATAATATTTAATATGATCCATACAATTTGGTTTAATAAATATTTCCATTGTGAGAAGGGATGCCAGTGACCACCCCCATTCCAGAAAAGGTTAATATAATCCAATTTACTACTTGTGTGTGTGTTGTTGGATTTTTGACCTGTAAATCTAAGCACACATTTTGTTTTGATAATTTTATATAACACGTGTTTACTGTTTTCAAGAATAACCATTTATAATAACCCTAAAATTTTGACATTAAGTATTATCTTGAAAATTAGATTGGGTTTGTTAAGTTCAAATATTCAGATATTTTTTAATCTTCATTTAAAGCTAGGTTGTGATAAGTTTATGTGAAATTTAGTTCTTTTTAAAATATACCAGTAATCATAACATATTTTACATTAAAGCTAGAGTATAAGATATAACTAGGGTTCACAACTCTTGAAAATTTTGAAGTAGGATATTTTTTAAGGGGTTGTCCATCAAGGATTCAAATGGACAGCCCCTAACTGAAGTAAATGAACACTTCAACAACAGTTGGTAGTAAAACATAAACGCATTTTATCTCTTAAGTAGGACAGTTAGCAACCCTGATATAACTCACATAAACCTATTGCTTGTAAAAATTAGACATTATTACTTGTATTAAGGCACAAGGTATTATGAATGTAATGTTGTTTCTTGTGAGGATTATTTATTTATTACCCCTATCAAATCATTTCTTTCCACCATTTAGTGCACTAAAAATGTGGTGCTTGGAAAGTGATATGTTGTAAATATATATTTTCCTGCTTGTTTCTGTTTGATTTGTAAGAAAATATGAAACTATTATACTGAGTTTTTAACAAAACGAATACATACTGACATGTATATGTATTCCATTGTTAAATATATTTTCATTAAAATACTATTTGTTAAGCCATTTCAAATGAAAAGGTGTATTCATAAAGTTTAAAAATCTTGTTTGACAATCAGAGGGGAGAACAGACTACCAAGCACGCAGACGTTTGGTTGTCCAAGACAAGAATAAATACAACACTCCTAAGTATCGTATGATTGTACGGATAACCAATAAAAATGTTATCTGCCAGGTATGAGTCTTTTTCTTTTTGTTTGGAATATTTAATACCTAGCAATTGGATTGTTAGCTTAATTTTTTTTCTCTTTTGATTAGCATCTTGTTTATAAAATCCCACCTGAACCAAGTATATGTAAAAACTGTGCTAAGATTGATTACTTTAACAATCTGGATGTACTTAATTCTATTGAAGGGTATGTGTCTTTTTAATATCTATATTTTAAAAAAAAGCAAACTGCACAATATTTAAGCCTTTTATCTTGTTTTTTGGACACAGCAGTGGGTTGAGTATGTTATATTAAAACAATTTTGTATATGCAAATCAGCTAATTACATGACATCCATAATCAATATATAATTGTGATGAAATGGCATGTACTGACATTGGCATTTCAAAGGGTAGTGTAATGATCATTTTTTGGAAGAGTATGTAACAGCACTTTCTGATCCATACACTTAGATCATAAAGATGTGTACAGAGCAGGGATTTAGAATTTCCAAGATGGGATTTACCTTCTATTTAATGGCCTTAGAAATCAAATTAACATAGAGCTTGGGACACCAGGACCATCCAGAAAGAGACCTTCAACAAGTTGTACCCCCGTTGTGGTAAGCAGAGTGCAGCTTCTTGTAAGAGGTCAGAGTTCACCAACATAACGGTCAGTGGAAAAAAGCCATCCATGTGCTCCAGGCAACTGTATGCAACATGATAAAGAAGGATCTCTGTTCTAAAGAACAACACAGTTCATGTAATAAAAAAAAAAAGTTGTTTTCATTCAATCGTTACATACCTCAAGCAGCTGGAGAAAAAAGTGGGTATTTCTGATATTCCATATGAAGACATACTGATCAACTCACAAGTGCTGCATTTATGGATTTCTTTGCAATCAAACTGTTGAAATTGACACTGGAAAACTCGTTTTCCAACACTAATGGAAGAATGCAAGGAGGGTGTGTGTGTTTTGGACAGGATAGCCTTAAGCCGGAGGCTTTTTCAGTGGAAACTGTGCTACAGGTCTATTGTCAAAGTTATCAGATATAGCGTGACTAGACATGTCAATTGACTGTAAAGTCTTTAGTGATCAAAATTTGTTCTCATATAATGCACTCAACCTGCTTAATCTTGCAAGTTGTAATAATAATTGTTGTATATTATATTTTGTTTCATGTTATTTTACACAAGATTTATCATAAATGTTTTATGATATACATTTATCAAAATAGGTATTACTAAAACTAGATTTCTTAACTTTGCATTATGTCAACAGCTCTTTGTTATTTTGAGTAACCATCTGTTATGTACAGTTCCATTCATCCTGACTTATTTCATTAGTTATATTCATCAGTATGGTGGTGCTAGTGCTAGCCTTGATGTTTTAGTATTGTAGATACATTTCTACCTCCATTGTATGGATTAGAATGTTCTCTAGGTCTTCCTAAATATATTTTTAAGTTATGTTTTAAGTACACCATAACTTGAAGAAGCTTAGCTGACTTTCAAAAATCATCCACTGTGTACACATACACTGACAACAGTCAGGAGAGTCTTCCCTAACTTGTGTGTTAGTATGCTTCAAGCCCCTCACTGGCTCAGTAGTCAGTCTGAGGGCTTATAAAACTCGGTTTTGATACCCATGGTGGATACAGAAAAAATATCCCATTGTGTAGCTCTGTGCTTAACTATAAACAAATGTATGCTTCAACCAACTTTAAGGTATTCTTAGCAGATTGACCAACTCGCATAACAGAATAGCTTGCCCTAACTTGTTTAATGTTAGTCAGTGTTTTAGTGATAACTGATTTGGCAAACCCGAATTGGGCCAATTGTTGCATAATCGGAGGACAGTCGAAATCAGTAGAATTTGCCGAATATCCCGAACATGGAAAACTGATTGCCGGGAAATATAAACTAAAGCCCCCCAGACCACTTTGTCCACAACAACAATTTTCTGATTTGTAAGTATGTCTACAATCACCATAGAGGAAAATATCATCAGTTAAAACAAGCTCAGTTTTTTTCTCATTTATTTACATAAGTTGATACATTGAATGAAAGAAAGGTTAAAAAAAGAATGCTCTACAAATCGTGAAGTACACATATTTCTTTACGGACTGGACATTAGCAAACGGTCGATAACACCACCCTGTGCACAGAGCTAATAAACACTGTGTGCTTGCCAGAGATTTACACAAACTTTTCTTGCAAAGTTCTGTTGGAATAACATCATTGTAAAAATAATCTTGCTGCCCAAATTTCATTGATAAATATTGTTAAATGCAAATTATAGTTCTCTCTGATGCTTAAAGGTGGTAGTTTGACACTTCTTTTTTTCCCCATATAGATAGCTTATGCAAGAATTGAAGGAGATGTCATTGTTTGTGCTGCATACTCTCATGAACTCCCTCGATATGGCATCAAGGTCGGATTGACGAATTATGCTGCATCATATTGTACTGGTTTGCTGCTAGCCAGAAGAGTAGGTACTTTTGTCTGTCCATACACGGGACAAGTGTTTTATTAACCTTTCTTGGAAAATTTAGTACTCCCATGTATTCTAACTTTCACCATTCATGCAATTCTATACATAATGAACATTTTTGATAACTTTATCTTTTTATCTGGAGTTTCAACTTTAATTTGTTCAGTAATGACTGACTGATATAGGTGATACATAATACTATCTGAAAATCTACTTTCAGCAATTATGATGTTTTTACCATATTTTGTTTTTGACATTTTCTCCCTTTATTTTTTTACCTTATCAAAATTGTATAATCAAGAGCAATCATTAATTAATTAACTAATAAAGCAAAAAGTGAATAATGGCAAACCTTACGGCATATGATCAGGGTAAGAACTTACTTAAACCTGAAAGTTTGGGAATCACTAATCAGTACTGGTTCAAGAGAGTGTATTACCTAGTCCTCACCACATTCTCAGATCATGTTTCTATCTCAGTGCAACTTCCTCCACTCTATGGTAAATTCTATGTGGTCTTAGAAAATGTCTTTCCATATCATGGTTCACAAACTTTACAGAACCATGGTTATATGAAAAAGAAGCAAGCCCAAAATAAATTACTTAAAGTATTTAATGAGAAAAAAATTAAAAGGTATTCCTTATACGGTGGTCTGTCATAATGATAATATAAAGTACGTGCATACATGTAAAAGATTATCTCTAGCATTTTTATCATTAAAAATTGTGTGGTCAATATACAGATACATTCATTATATTTAATTTTAAAATTCAAAGTTGAATATACAGGACTATTTCAATAATTTTGAAATAGATTGGTTGCAGATGATTATCCTACCAAATTTAGAAAATTTGTAACCTACCACACAAGCATTATCTTATAGAATATCATGATGTCTAGTGAGATATCATGTGTTCATCAAATTAAACTCCTTAAAGCCCAACATAAGTTATATCTAAAATTAAACTAAGTTGCTCCAGTAATATTTGTTTTGCACTGTGGTTGAAAATTAGATATTTACTTCATAGTTTTATATTAATTACATCAGTTGTAGCCAACTGAAAAAATAACAGCATTAAAATGTGTTTTCTGTTTATTTAACTATTCTAAATACAAAAAAATAAAATTAATGTATTTTTTAAACAACTTAAATACAAAACGTTTTAAAGCAGTTCTGAGAATGTTTTACTTAGAAATTAAGAAATTAAAGAGCCAAATCTTGAATTCTGCCCATAGTGAGACTGAACTGAACCCTGTCATATATTTACTTTTTGTTTCAAGATGAGCAAGTGAATAAGTTAGAATTATGAATCTGTTCCCTCAAATACCATATGTTGGTGATTATTCTATATAGTTAAGTAATAGTAATTTGTTAATTTATCATCAAACTTGTGTGCATGTTCCTGAGGTAAACACCTGTCAGGAAATATCAGCTATCATTGAGTCTACTAAATTTCTTCTGCATTTAAATTCATTATATATTAGTACAAGCTTTGAAACTTGTATAAAGTATTATATTTATTGATAGTACATGTTCCATGATATTCACTTTTTTCTATCTACAGTTATTTATATAAAAGTAAAATAAACCAAAATAGATGTCTTTAACCTTGTGATATTTTCTGGTACTTGGATTTACCTCAGAGCTAATTGTAATGACACTGATGGAAGTTCTTAGATCTCAGGTAATAGGGTTTCTCATTAATTAGAAACTGGAGATAGGTCACATGAGAAAAGACAAGATTAAATCCAAAACACACATTAAATGACACAAAAGAGTAAGTTACCAAATAAGTGATAGTGATATGATGTTGAACTGACAAGAACTAACTGAAGACTATAACTCTTTCCTTAAGACTTACTCAGTTTGTGCATGTCATGACCTATTACAGTGTTATACTAAAAATGTAATTAAAATCTGTATTATCAATGTATGTCAATAAACTTGGCATGAAAACATAGTTTATAATTCAAGTTTTTTATATTATTTTAGCATTACCTTCTTAATTTCAACAAGAAATATTAAAAATAAAATCTGAAACATTATTTTCATATATAGATCTGTGATGATGTTATAGAGGTGCAGTATCATTAAACAGTTAGTCCACTGTATATACCAAATAATAAATTTGTTGCAATGCCACACTATTATTCACAAACCTAAATTGACTTACATTACTAAATGTTATGTTACATGGACTTTAAAACACCATAGATATTATATACACAACACTATTATGAGAGGCCTTACTGTATTTCTCTAATTTGATCACCCAAGGTGTGCTGATGAGATCCAAGTAACTCTATGTTCACCAACTGATTTTGGACTCAATAAATGGAGCTTGTAGACTTTCAAATAAAAACAAAACATACACTGAGTTTGCTTAATGTAAACACATAATGCTGCACAAAAGCTTTATAGCTCTCAAAAAAATGAAACCCTGAAAATTCAGCAAAAGTTAGTAGGCTTCTACTGAATAAATTATAGCTTCAAACACCCACAAAAGGTTAATCTCCCAAAGGCATACATGGCCTTAAATATAACACATCTCAGTCCATTAGTACACAATTTATGATTGTTACCTCCAACACATAATGGGTTGTGTGCTGGCAGAGGGCATGGCTGTTTGTTTTTCTGAACAGAGTGTCACAGTACTAAAATATGAACCTGACATTAACAGAAGAATCCTTATTAATCAAACAGTCCCACAAGTAACAAATACCCAGTCACATCTCTATATTCTTTGATCATTATTTCCCTAGGCATTCCTAATCTTGTGTAAATATTTCACATCATATATTCCACATTATTTCCATATTTATTAATTTTTGTTTGTTTTCTCTGTTCAGCTGTAACTAAATAATCTGTCAAGTCACAAGGGTCAATAAGCATAAGTAACTACTATCAGTACTAAAATTTAAATACATTGTTAGATTGTTGATTTAAATACTAAAACCTTTATTGTTAGAACTTGTGTACTTGAGAGTGGTCACACCTGTTCTAAAAAATAATCTTCCTTACTGTAAAAGCTATAACCTAGAGTATTATTTTGTTTGCTGACAAGGATAACTCTTATTGTTCCCTGCATTACTTAATGCATCATTATTTCTGTAAGAAAACCAGATAATTGCCTAACTGTCCACAGGTCCCCATTTTCCCTTAGAAAAAGTCAGAAGTTTAGTGACTTTTTTGAGCATCTGTGCTCAAAAGGGGGAACTGTGAAAAACAACATAATTTTAAAATTTATACTTTTTAACTAAAGGGATGGAAACTTGTAATGCCTCCCCCCATACTGTAACCTCGAACTAATATTGTAAACGATATTTTACAACTGCCTGATTCCCATTACAAATTTATGAAAAAGGTATTCACCCAGAAGCCCAGTATAAGGACACGTTTAATTAATCATCTTCTAATTTACTTATTTCTAGTTGCTTAGGAAATTTGGAATGGATGAGATATACAAAGGATGTGAGGAGGTAACAGGGGAAGAGTACTGTGTAGAAGATATTGATGGTCAGCCTGGTGCTTTCCGTGCTTACTTAGATGTTGGTTTAGCTCGTACATCCACTGGAGCTCGTGTGTTTGGAGCAATGAAAGGAGCTGTTGATGGAGGAATTGATGTGCCTCATTCGTAAGAAGTACCTTTACATATTTTACAATAGCTGAATAGAAATGGCGTATTACTTTTTATTTCAATTTAGTAAACATCCTGTTTTAGGCTTACAAGTATCATCTTGTAATGTATTACTGGTGTAAACAATTGTCAGGGTTATTCATCATTGATCGCTTACTAACATGTGACTTTTGGTTTTGGTCAAAGGTTAGCAAATTTTATTCATCAATGTCAATGAAGACAGCTGTGAAAGATTTTTATTAAGACTGCACCATTTGTTTGAACATACTGGTTTTATTACTTAAGTAAAATGGTGGTTTTTGGTATTCCATGATCTATATCTTGTCAGAATTGGTTCATCAGTTTATCAAAAAGTCATTAATTGTAGTACTTTTTTTATCTTCAGCTATTCTTTTTCAGAGTAGTGCACTTACGGTTGCACTTACTAAGTAACACTGATAAAATCTGCAGAGTAAACAAATCTTGGATCATATAATGTGGCATAATAATACTTACAAGAAAAACTACTATTTTATTAAAATACACAGATGAATCTAATAAAAAAAAATGTGTTCGTTCATTCTTAATTTACTTTGCCTCCCCGCGTGGCTCAGTAACAAGTCTTGAGAGTTTACATATCAGGTTTTCACACTCATAGTGGGCACAGCACAGATGGCCCATTGTATAACTTTGTGCTTCACAACAAACAAATTTACTCTTTATTACTTATGGACTATTTTGTGCTCCATACTATGAACTCTATCCTTGTAAACTGCTGCTACACCAGTAATACATTATGCTTAAACTGTGGGTTCTCTTGAACTTTGAATTTGTTAATGACAAGCTTGAATAATTAAAAGGAAAACCGTATAGATTTTACATGAAATTGTTTGGATCATTTAACTTTTAAAAGTAAGAACTATATCTCCTGTGACTTGTAACTACACTAATAATTACATCATCCAGTGAACCATCAGCAGGTTTCAATTGCCTGAAATACATCACTAATAAAAAGTAGTTTTTGTGAACTGTGAAAAGAAAAACTTTATTTGCACTTTTATTGTCAAGTAATCTCATTTTGTTAATCCAGCAACAAGCGATTCCCTGGTTATGACAGCGAGACCAAGGAGTTTAATGCAGAAATACATCGTAAGCATATCTTTGGTCAGCATGTAGCAGAATACATGAAAATGTTGATGGATGAAGATGAGGAAGCATATAAGCGACAGTTTTCTAGATACATTAAACTAGGGATTACACCTGAAGATGTAAGTTGGTGTGATACAACTGTATTTTATTGGTGAAACTGTGTGGTTCTAATATACTAAATAATATCAGCAGGTAAGGTATTTTATATTGAAGACCTGAACATGCAGGTATTGATGATACTTCTAAACTTTTAAGGAGGTTGCCTTTGATTCACCGTATAATATAATCTTGCTGATCAATACAATGTCAGAAGAAAGATACCTTAGTATGCTTTTTTTAACTCTTTGGCACTTGTGTTCAGTGTTAAAAAATAAAAATAAAATAACGATTATTTTTTACACAATTCTAAAACTAAATAACACTAGATGTCGTGAAATTCTTTAATATTTAAATTGGTGATCTATTAATTGTATAAATAATTGTTATTTTTTGCAAAACAATACACTCCTGAGGAAGATGCAGTGATGTACGTCAAAACATGTAGAATGTATGAGACTGTTCTCCAGTCTCATCAGGTTTTTTACTATTTTTTTACCTTGTACAGTAAGTTATTTGTATTTTATTGTAATTTTGAGGCTGTAAACAGTCTCATTTTTAGAATTGTGTATAAAATAATCATTGTTTTTAAAAATTTGTGAGTTATTAACTCGTAACAGTAATGTATACTGTAGAACCTTTATAAAAAGTGTACTTGTTACTATCGGTAGTTCTTTCATATAATTGTCCAGCAATTATAATTCATTAAACAAAAGGTTACTAGAATAGATTTTCTTTACAGAATAGATGCTTTTGGAGTAGTAATAGGTATTGGATCCAGATAGCATTGACGAATTAAAGTAAAATTAAATTGTTTGGATGTTAATGTTTATCCTTCTATCTTGAAATAGGTTGAAGAGATTTACAAAAAAGCTCATGCTGCAATTCGAAGTGATCCTGAGCACACACCTAAACCACTTAGGACTGATATTGTAAAGAAGAGGTAAATTGATCACATTTATATATTGTTCCATACAGATAAAACGTCTCAGTAAAGAAAAATATGTTAGAGGCATGTAATTGTTGGTAGTGTATATAAAAAAATAAGTTATTGCAATCACACTAGTAGATCTGTAACTCAAATTGAACGGTATTTACATCATCTTCAGAAACGTTTTCTTTGTTTCTGTATGTGATTTAAAAGCTGACATTCATGTGGAATTTTCTTTACTTTGAAGTTTTCCAGTTTTGAATGTTTTTCAAGGCTTTGTAGAATGTTTGAAATCTGAACATTAATTGGAACAATTTACTCGTTTATAGATGGAACAAAGCTAAAATGACATATTCAGAACGTGAGAACAAGGTGAACCAGAAAAAGAAAACTTATCTGAAGAAATTGGAAGAAGCAGAAGGCCAAGGGTGATTAGAAAACCTGTCTCGTTCCGATAGTACTTTACTGAGAATTGGATAATAAAAGTTCTCAGTGTTTAACTTGTCTAGGATGTCTTATTTTGCTTCGGTAACCTGGTTTACACTACGTTTTGGCTCCTTAGTTATGTCTGTATATTCATGTTTTTGAGAAGATAGACAGAAAATATATAATCTGTAATAACTCCTTTTTTCTCTTTCTTCATAAGGGAAGGTCAGGATAGATAAGTTGACATTCTCATTGGCCTGTATTGTTGCTATTATGCTTTAAAGTAAGTGAGAGAAGAAAAAACAGTTAACTATAAGCTACCTTGGATCTGTTTTTTTTGGGGGGGGGGGGTATTTTTCACATGAACATCCCCTTGCACTCCAACTTGTTAGTCTGAATGAGATTGACATCATCAGTTCACAGACTTGTCTTGAACATAAACACTTTTGTAACACATTTTATATACAATATACTTGTACACATTATTAAAAGTTTGCTGTCTTTACTGTAGATGCACATAGTAAATTTGGAATTATCGTCAACATTCCTTCTCCAGTGTAGGGTCAGTTCAATGGACTGATTTGATTTCTGCAAGTCTTCAGTGAGTAAGTTGTTAGTGGTACATGAAAAGTATATTGTTTGCAAACATTTGTTGGAATGAGTTCATATTATAACTTAGCTACAATGCCATCTACAATAATGGTAATAAAATAAATAATTATCAAAAACATCTTATAAAGATTTACTGGTAAATGTCAGCATTTAAATTCTATAACATCATACCTTAAAAAGGTTTCATTTAACTATACTGATGTGGTGATAGAATAGGTAAGGATCTGCTGAAACCTTGGTGATTTGGGTGGATTGTATTCTTGTTTAAATTATGTAGTAGTGCCATTTATTTTTGCTACATCATGAGACTCCTATTCACAGGTTGTTGTTTTTTAAGTTTACACTGATGTTAGTCATAGTTTGACTACTTTGTTTCAAGTTCCAACAGTACAAATAGCAGTCATTTTATTCTTTAATGTAAACAAAAAATAGTGATTTCATTCTCTTTTTTTTTAGATGATAAAATACCAGCTACCATCAAATATTTCTACCTGATGGAAACAGTATAATACTTGGATGTTACCATAAAATCAGAAGCCTAAATTGTTAGGCAAGGTATTTATGGAGATTCATTAAGAATGATGATTAGTCTTTACTTACTTGCCTACAATCACTGTAAGTCGATTAAAAAGAGTATAAGAATCAACCATCACTTCAGCATTTTTAAGATATACAAAGGCAGAGTTTGGTTCTTGATACTGAAACCCAATAGTATTTTGGATGGACATGTTTTGGTGTGGTGTGCTCTAGTAGCTTATCATACAGCCTTGGAAGTGAAAGCACTATTTGGTAATCATTTGTAACAAAAAACTTGTATTAAATGCTAGAAGTTTATGTAATGGATTGATAAGAGAAATGTGGTTAAAACATTTGAAGCTGAAATTGTGTTTCATCAGTCCTCAAGGATTTTCACTTAACAGTATTGTAGTATATTATGACGTAAGTAGGTACCATTTGCTTGGTAGGCATTTATTGTTACCCAGCTTGAATTCTTTAGCAACATAATATTGTTTTAATGTTTAACTGAATTATTTAGTTCACTAACTGTAGTTTTCAAACAATTCAGCAAGGAATAACTAGTCAACATTTTTCATTTGTTTGGTAAGTACAAAATTGCTCAAAGAATGTCTATATTGTAACCAGACAATAATAGAGACTTTAATTTTAGCTTGAGAAGCCCTCAAGTTTATCGTTTAGCTACTGGAGGCCAACTGAACAACAATATATGTTTTACTTTCTCTATAATTATGTGTAATACCATATTATGTATTTTTCCTTTGATTAATAGATAATTAAACAAGACATAAGGTTGTTTAGGTTAGCTTAGATGCCAAAGAGAGTATAAAGGTCATGGATGGTCTAATTAAGGAAGGGATAGTCGAGAAATCGGATTGTCCCTAGTCAGCTCCCGTCGTGTTAGTCCAGAAGAAGGATGGGACCCAACGTTGCTGAGTGGACTTCAGGGCTCTTAACAGTATAACCAGAAAAGACTCGTACCCACTG